AATTAAGAAGGATTGTTCACGGGAGTTACGCTCTTTATCTCTAACCAAAAAATAATTTTTTTAAAAACAATAGGAACGATACGTTTCACAGCGAGAAAAAAAATAAAAGGCCAAGATAAGAATTTTTAGACATAAAGAAGTCTGCTTACCAGATTTAGCTCTTATCTCTAACAAAAAATTAATTTTTAAAAAAAAAGACCGAATACGTGTTCACAGCGAGAAAAAATAAAAGGCAAGATTAGGACATTTATAGACGATAAAAGAGTTTGTTTACCGAGTTTTAGCTCTTATCTACTTTAACAAAAAATTAATTAAAAAAAAAAGACCGCACAAAACACGCCAAAGAATACGTTAGAACAGCACGGCGAGAAAAAAATAAAAGGCAACGATAGAATGATTTCTTAGCATAAAAGAGTGTTTACCGAAGGTTATTTAGCTCCTTAATCTCTAACAAAAATTTGATTTTTAAAAAAAAGACCGAATACGTTTCACAGCGACGAAAAAAAATAAAAGGCAAGATAGAATTTTCTAGACATTAAAGAAAGTTGTTTTACCGAAGTTTTAGCTCTTTATCTCTAACAAAAACATCTTATTTTAAAAAAAAAAAGACGAATAATACGTTTCACAGCAGAGAAAAAAATTTAAAGCAAGACTAGAATTTTCTAGCCAATAAAAAGAAGTTGTTTACCCGAGTTTTAGGCTCTATATCCTCTAACAAAAAATTAAATTTTTAAAAAAAAGACCCGATACGTTTCACAGCCGAGAAAAAAATAAAGGCAAGATAGACAGTTTCTTAGACTAAAGAAGTTGTTTATTGAGTTTTAGCTCTTACTCTAACAAAAAATGTATTAATGTTTAAAAAAAAAAAGACCGGAATAACGTTTCACAGCGAAGAAACAAAATAAAAGGCAAGACTAGAATTTCTAGAATAAAAGAAGGTTCGTTTACCAGATTTTTAGCCTCTTATCACTCCTAAGCCAAAAAATTATTTTTAAAAAAGACCGCCGAATACGCTTTCACAGCGAGAGAAAAAATAAAGGCAAGATAGAATTTTCCTAGAATAAAAGAAAGTTGTTTACCGAGTTTTAGCTCTTATATTCATCTAACAAAGAAATAATTTAAAAAAAAAAGACCGAATACGTTCAACAGCGAAGAAAAAATAAGCAAGGCGAAGATAGAATGTTTCTAGACATAAAGAAGTTGTTACCGAGTTTGTAGCTGCTTTCGTCTAACAAAAAAGTATTAAATTTTTAAACAAAACAGGACCGTAATACGTTTCGACAGCGAGAAAAAAAAATAAAAGGCAAGATTAGAATTTTTCGTTAAATGAAAGAAGTTTACCGAGTTTTAAGCTCTTATCTCTTAACAAAAAATTAATTTTTAAAAAAAAGCCGAAGCCGTTTTCACACCGAGAAAACATAAAAGGAAGATAGAATTTCTAGGAAGTAAAGAAGTTGGGGTTTACCGAGTTTTAATTCTTCTTTTTTTTGTTTGAACTTCTTGGAACGTTAAGTTCTGGATTTAGTTCAGGGTCGCAAACTATTAAATGAAAGTGTCTGGGTATACCAATCTCTGTTATCTTAATGAGAACAAAGAAGCCAGACATAAACTTTTCACCAATGGGTTCCTTTTGGTCATCATCGAATAAATGTCTCATGAGATACTCTGTGCTTAACATCTCTCCTTCAATACTTTTGGAATACCTTCTAAAGTATAAAGTCTTGCTATAGCTGAAGGATATAATGAAACAGTGTCGAAGTCAGCAATGAGTTTCTTTTTGCTCTTTTGTTTCATGTTATCTGACAACATACATCTTCCACCTTGAATGCAGCTCGAAATAAATTCTCTTGGTTTATTTGAGAGGTCATAAAGATTTCCATTCGGGAAGTATACTCTGTTCTCAAACAATTTGTTAGCAATAGAACAAATACTAACGTAGTCATAAACGTTTAAATCAAACTCTTTCAATAAGTCATTGCGGAACTTTACAAAACCTTCTCTTAAAATTCTTACATCTTGTTTGCAGTAAAACGTGCTATATTTTTCTAAGTCGAAGTGGTTTTCATCTATTCTGCAACCTTTGATGGAATCTATGTTTTTCATGAATGTATCTGCATCATGGATAAACTTACATGCTTCAGAAATGACACCAGTTCTGTTGTCATTTGCTAACAAAACACTGCTGTAGTAGTTATATGGAAATACTTCTTTCGGTCCTGTTTGTAAGTTAAACATAGCAGGAAATAGTTTAAGCTTCTTATTTATAACACTGTAAGAGTCTTTTATAATAATTGCCCGTCCTTTATATAAACCAGTTATTTGCATTGTTCGTGAACCTTTAATGATGGGAGTTCCTTTCACTTCTGTCATGTGTCTTAAGATGAAGTTTATGTCATAACTGAGGTTGTGGAAATATATTAAACTCTTGTCAGGAAGTCTTTCCAAAAATTCTGTTGCACAGTTTTGACCCCAAATGCTTTCACTCACTGAACCATCTTCACTGTCATAACAGATGTTAAAAGCTTTATGAAAGCCGTCTGTGCTACACTCAAAGTCAGCAAAGAAAACGTGCTCAGGAATGAATTTACATTTAGCTTTATTTACTTCTTTTGACTCTGCTTTCTTCTTCAGTTGTACACAATACTTTGGAGCATATGTCAAATCTTTAAATGGTGCAAGGTTCTGTTTATATAAGTCAGTAGTATATGTGAAAAGTTCTCCATAAGAAATAGTTCGAAATATTTGCACTCCCACAATGTTTTCATAACATCCCATAGCGGTGTTGTTCTATCATAACGAACTACATATTTATCTTCTCTCTTTGTATAAATCTTCATCTGTTTCTCAATGTTCATTCCACCACACTCCTTCAAGATTTCTATATAGTTTCGAATGAAGTATGTTGTCATTGGAAGTCTTTCATTTAGCATGTAGTGGTCTTCAACAAGAAGTAAGTCAATAGTTCTAACAGTTTCGCATTCTTTTGGTATATATCTCTTTATTTCATTATGTCTTGAGTCATTGAAGTAACCAATGGTAACATTAAATGCTATACCTGTTGCGTCAGAAATTTCTTGTACTTTACTTTGAGGAAAGTCTCTAACACGAATGACTTCTCTCATGTGGTCAATAGTTTCTTCATTTACTCCAGCCTGAATGCAAGCATAAACGAAACAATTGTCCTCTGTCATAAGTGTTGCAGTTCTTTTGTTCAGTTCATTGAAGATTTGGTAGCGTTCAAGATTTATAGGTAATGTGCAAAGATACTTCCAGAACTGACCGCTTCTCTTCTTATAAAACTTCTTTTCATCATTATCTTTCCAAAAGCTTTCTATAAGTGCTGGGTTTCCTGTTTGCTTAAGAGCTTCCAAAATGGCTTTCTGGTCATTTGTCAGTGTGCTTTCATCTCTATATGGTCTCTTTTTTGGTTTGCCTTTCTTTACATCTGACATCGTTAAGCCTTCATATTCTGTTAAATCATACATCTTTATTTCGGTAAGATTCTTTATGTTTGTCAAGAAGAAGTCATAGTGCATTTCAACAATACCTGCAGCATTTGCTTCTATCTCTGATATAAAGTTCTCCTTCAAGAGCTGATGTAGTAATGTTCCAATATTATTGAGGTTTAACGTAGAACATTCATACTTTCCACCAAGTTTATAACATACCATCCATCTCTGTTGTGAGTTTATTTTAATTTTCTCTAAGAGTCTCATGAAAACCTTACCGAAATGTTTGTGTAAGTAGTCTCTGTTTGGTTCATCTAAAGCTTCGATGTTAAAGTCAATGAGTCTATTGCCTGACTTCACATTTCTCTTCCTATTCTCTTCATCTTTCTTTAACCATCTCTCACCTTCTTTTGGTTTGTCGTCAATGGAACGAATGACATCGTTAGCTTTGCGAACTTGTTCTATAGCACTTTTAAACATCTCTCTTCTCTGTTGTTTCAGTGTGTCATCTCTCTTTCGTGTTTCACCAACGTTTGCATGGGCTACGCCCGCGCCGTCATGCGGCTTTGTTATGTCAAACATTTCTCTTCTTACTTCATGAGGTATTGAACGTCTATGATATAAGTCAATAGCAACGTCATTTAAAGGAAATGTTTTGTTATTAATGTAATCATGAATTCTATCATAAGTTATTTCACCATTATAGTCATTGAGGATGTCAGCGAGTGCCTTTTTGTTTGTTGCGTAATGTTTTGCAACATCTATGTTAGCTTCTGTAAGAAGTTGTTTTATTTCCGAGTGTTCTAACTTAGACAACTTCCGATACATCTTTAGTAGGAAATAAAAAAAATATTTTTGAAAAAATTAGATTAGATTTTTTTTAAGTTATTTTTCAAAATAATTTAATATTTTTATTTTAATGAAACACATGCAAGATTGCAAGTTCTTTTCATACAATGCTCTCGCTACTGTCATCAAGAATGAGTTCAATAATGCTTCAAACGTCAATGTTATCTTTAACAAGAAGTTTGTGAAAGAATCTAAGTTTGGTCAGTATGTCAGACCATTAGCTATCGTCATTGACCGCAAACGTTATACTTCACAAGAGTTAGCAGTAGTTTTGAAACAAAAGGGTTTCTTCGTGAATGTCAAAGATACACACTATACTGTCATAAAGAACTCCAACATTGACTTCTTCAGTATTGCTATGAATCTTTCCGAACAGAAAGAATATAAGAAGGGTGAAACATCTGTGAAATATTATCCTTCATCTCTGAAGACAATAACGAACAAAGATGTTATACAAAAGTTCTTACCAAAGGTTGAAGAAGCTTCAATTGACATTGACGAAGGAAGTGAAATGGTTGAAGAAATTGACCCTGAAGCTATTTAACCAAAAATATATTTTTGGTGAAGAGGTGAGATATCACCTAGCCGCTTTGCGGCTCTGACCCTTTGGGTCTGTTTTTTCACCTCATTCTCTCTTCGTTAATGTTGTCGTGACTTCTTCGTTAATGTTGTCGTGACTTCTTCGTTAATGTTGTCGTGACTTCATTCTTCCTCTTTGAAGTTATCGAAATATTCTGTTATTTTTTCCTTCAGTAATGTTAAGTCTTCTTTGAAGGTAAGTATTGTGCAACCTTTGATGTCATAGTGTGTTTGAGGAAGAGTATTTTTGACAATTTCCTTTATTTGCTCATTCGGTGTCATTGAAATCGGTAAGTTTTCACGATAGAACCAGTTTCTGTCAGATTTATATATTTTAGCAAGGTCGTAAAAGCTTTTGTTGTTTCTTCTGACTAAATGCAACATAACCATATCTTTATCTTCTTCATTTTCCAACTCTTCAGTATAAATCATATACTTATAACTCTTTTCCTTTCCTTTTGGTACTGAACGTGGTATTCTTTTCTGTATGCTTTTGTCTTTGGATTCAATGACTTCATCTTTTGCTTGAAGTTTCTTTTCCATCTCTCCACGTTCTGCTTTATATAGTTCATCTAACATCATGAAAATATAACAAGCATAACGAGGTGAAGCCCACATTGCTACAGCATTTACTAAAAGTCTATGAACATAATAACCTTTCAAACCAGGTGCCAAATTCTTGCGATTTTCGTACGGAATCTCTTCCCTCGGTTTTCCGAGGGAAGCAATCATATGAGGAAATTCTTCTAAAAGTTCTTTTGCCTGTTGGTTTTCAAACCAATGATATGCTTGCTTTGTAGAACGAAGAGCGTTCATTATACTTTGCATTTGATACATATCATCTTTGACTGAACGAATGAGTCTCAATTGTTTGTTATATTGTATGTATTCGTATTCTTCATTTATGGCTTCATGAACGATAGCAGTTGTTGTGTTCTCTAATGTTGACATTACTGTTCTTACATACAGGATAAAAAAATAAATAAAATAAAAACTAACTTTATTTTTTCTGAGATAAACACTATTTCTTCACAACATTAAATTTTATCCTGTATGAAATGACTTTAAAAAGATTATTGACTGACTTCGAATACTATCTCATTGACGCACTGACAGACCCTCAAAACTGTGTTGAAAGTTCTTTAAGCTTTAAGATTGAAGGTACGACGCATTTTGTCTTCACTTACGTATTGAAAGAATATGACCGTTATCATAACGAAGTGAATCAAACACTAATAAAATTTGTAGATAAAAAATTGGTTAACAATGAATATTTTAAACGTGAAGACCCAAACACTGCTGGAGATGATGAAGAATACAGACAAGTTATTGAAAAAAATAACGCAAGATTAGATGCAATAGAAAAGAAGTTTAATGAATGTCTTACAAACACGTATGAATATCTTATGCAGTGGGAAGCCAGATGGAAATAAATTTACGTCAAATATGCAATTTATAAAATCTTATGTCGACAGGCTACGTAGCACAGTGGTCTAAGGTGGTGTTATGGAGGGGTCAAGGTCTGTGGTTCGAACCGCGACAGCGCCGTATTTTCTTATTTTCTTTATTTGTCTTGTTTGTCGTGAATAAAAAGTGTCATAAAAGTGCTCTATCTTCCACGGGAATAAATAAAAAATTTACTTTATTTCTTCTTTATTTCTTTGTTCCCGTGGAAGAAGGGTTTTGCTGTTTTTTCTCAGCCGAAATCAATGATTTTTTCATTTTTGGAATCCTTAGCGAATGAGGAATCTTTTCTCTCGTGGAAGCTTTGACCTAAAATATAATTTAGGTGAAGAGGTGAGATGTCACCTGTTTTCTCACCTCTTTTTTCACCCTCGTGACTTTGTCATAACTTCTTCGTAAATGCTTTGTCATAACTTCTTCGTAAATGCTTTGTCATAACTTCTTCGTAAATGAGTGTAAATGACCAAAAATATATTATAGGTGAAGAGGTGAGATGTCACCTAGCCGCTTTGCGGCTCTGACCCTTTGGGTCTCTTTTTTCACCTAATTTCTCACCTCTTGAATTTTCATGAATTTCCTTAAGATAGAAAAATAACGTTAGTTTTATTTTTATTTATTTTTTTATTTTGTATGTAAAGATATGATTTCAACAATCGGCACAACAACAATTCAAGCCGCGAACGGCGGGACTCTGTCCACAACAACTTCACCAAACTCGTTAGTCATGAATCCAACATCTATGTTAGTAGAGATGAAAAGCTTCATTCCTTCTTCATATACTTTCGAAACAAAAATCCAGAAGATAAAGCAAGAACTTTTAACAAGTAATTTAGACTGTAGTGCGAAAGATGAAACAAATGAACAGTATCTTTATGAAATGCAGGACATTATTGACCATTTACCTAAACTACCTGAAATTCAGCATCAAAAACTAACTATTCCTGAATTCGATGAAATAGAAGTGAAACCAACTGACTCAGTAGAAATAAAGAAGTTCATTCGAAAGGTAAACTATGAGTTTCTAGGATTTCATTGCAACCATAAGGTTATGGACAAAGATTGCGACATGGTATATAAGAATGTTTCTGACATATATAAATCCGGGGAGTTTAAGACCTACGATAACTTTGTTTCGTTAGTTGCTGAATGTGTATGGCAGATAAGAGATAAAGATAGAAGAGGTAAAATATGGAACGAACAGATAAGACCAACTGCTTTTGAGTTAAAGAAAACCATTGACGCCTTAGTTGTTTTAGCAGGTAAGGTTTCAGAATATAACGCAAAAATGAATCCGCAATGTTCTAAATGTAAAGCAGCAATTAGGAAATATAACTACTCCGTCAAAGAGATAGAAAGAATGCGAAACGACTATGCAGACTTAAAGAAAGAAGCAGAAAAGCCAGCAGAAAATAAAATGGACATGTTAGCATTTCTGAACAAAAACTATCCAACTGCTGACGATTTCCTTCTATCTGACGTCAAGAAGAAATATAAAGAAACTTTCGGCATTGTTAAAACTTTTGACATACTGACAGAAGAAATAGAAGCTACGAAATTGTTTAGGATTTCAAATATACATCGTACAATTCATGTAAAACGCTTGTGAAAAACTGGGGTGAGAAAACAGGTGAGAAAACGGGTGACATCTCACCTCTTCACCTATAATATATTTTTGCTTTAATTAAATGCTTTCCGGAAACGTCGATGAAAATCATATGGACAAATTATATGAAAAAATTAATAATGATTACCCCTCATTAACCAGGGAAATGACGGATTCTATAGTTCGTAAATTCGATGAAATACAGGATATGTGGTTCGACAGATTCGACATGAACGATAAGGAAAAGAGAAAGAACGATAACAATTTACTTACTAAAAGAATCCTAAAATCTAAAATAGGTGAAGCTTCAACATTTAACACAGTACATAACTTTTACACCGCTGTTTATATTTTCAATAATTTATTTAACGATGAACGAGAAAGAAAAAGTATGTTTAACGGAAGAAATGAATATGATTTTATCCTTTGTGCTGTTCGGGATGTTGACATGAAACTAAAGAAAATATTCTTATTACAAGATGACACGGTTGAAGATGAAGTCAATGAGTTTTTAAATCGTGATTTAAATGAAATTGATGAAGTTATGACCGAATGTTATAAAAAGTTCAAGAGGTGAAAAAAGAGGTGAGAAAACAGGTGAAATCTCACCTCTTCACCTAAATTATATTTTTGGTGTAAATTTATGACAAAAATAAATGGTACCATTAATGATATCATGACTGTTCTCGTTCATGTCTGATTTACATCCAACGAAAAAGTTTAGAAGAATTTTCTTATTCTTTCTGGCATATTTTTGTCTTTCCAGTACTCCCGCTCTAATGGTCCCAGATGTGTTGGTTTTGACTCTCTCAAGTTCTTAGATGGTATAACATCTTCAACGCCTCCTTCATATCTTACTTTATAAGTGTCATCGTTTGTGTTATAGTCAAGTATTTCAATAACCACTCCTCGCTTTGCTTCGTCAATGGTTTCAGCAAGTTTGCCATTACTACTTTCGACTAATTTATGTCGAGGGTAAAATGCTATGGAGTCGTCAGCAGCTTTTATAAGATATCCATTACCTTGCGTAGAGTCTACGATATAATAATTTCGACTTAACCTTAAACGTTTCTTTGTCAATGGTTTGTCGTCAAGAACTACACGAACTTTTGTACCAGGAATGAGGGTAAATTGTGTTGAATTTCTGATATTTTGTGTTTGACTTAGTTTCTTTTGTATATACTTTTCTTCTTGTTGTTGTGTCATTGAATTTGGTGTATGTCCTGTTGTAGAATGTGTTGAGGAATTATATACTTCGAGAAAATGTTTCATTGTTTCTTCGGTAAAGTCTCGCTCTTGATTTAAATCTCTGAGAGTCCTTATGAAGCGGTTAATGATACCGAGTATGTTATGGTTATGGTCTTCAGTAGTGTAGTGAGTTATGTTATGCTTAATGAGAAAATCTGTGATTTCGTTGCTGAGGTATGCACTGTCTTGGTCTGATGTTAAAATACTTGGGCTATGTTCTGCTACAAACTTTTGTAAAACTCTTAACACTTCACGTGTTCCTTTATTTCTCATTATATATGCATATGCTTTACGAGTGTTAACATTAATGAAGATGAGGAATGGTTTATGTCCTCCTTTTCTGCTTTGAATGAGAGTGTCAAATTGGTATGCGTCAGGAGTGTTGGAGTAAATTGGTAAAAAGTAGTCGTAAGGATTTATTTTTGTTTGATGTACAACATTTTTGTCAAAGAACCTTTTCACTTCAGCTCTGTTAGTAAATCCCGAACTCTTTGCAGCTTCATTGAACTTCTTAAATGACCTCCATGGATGTTGTTCGAATACTTCTTTCAAGCTCATTTATGTAAAGTTAAAGATTTTAACCAACTCGTATCCAAGCGTGCATTGTTATATAAGGAGGCATATAATCTTTTCCATTACCTGCTGGGTCTGTAATACCAGCTACAACATGTGTATGATTTCCTGCAGTTCCACAGAAAATACCTGTGCTAACATCTTTGGGGTCAGTTGTGATATCATATCTATGCATTCCCTGTCTATCCGAACCCGCTGCAAGATTTGTATAACCTCTTTTTGTTATTGAATGTGAATGGTTTCCTTCCACAGATGTTCTTCCACTGAACCTATGCATATGTGAAGGAAGGTTTTCAATACCTATTTTCTTTGAACCTCCCATCTTCATTGACTGCGTATTAGTGTAGAATGGAAAACTGTCAACTATTTCATACCATCTACCACCAAATAAAGTGTTTGGATTTATTGGATTCATAGACGTATAAACAGCTCCTATAGGATATATTAAATCATATATGCTCATAACTCTATAAACATATTCTAAAGAACTTATGTCATTAAATACCATTTGGAATGTATCTCCCGGATGAAATGTTGCATTTGTTCCACTTTTATAATGTAATGTTAGTTCAATAGAATTATCCAAGAAAAATTCAAAAGTATCTGGTTGAAGACCTCTAACAAATTCAAATGGAGTTGCTGGTTCACCATTTATAATTTCTGTTGTAAATGTCATTGTATCTGGTTTCGA